CTCCAATTGCCTCACCCTGTGTCCCTGTTCAGCATGGAAGAAGCCAGAGCGCTTGGCATCCCTATTCCCTACTGGCAATTTGGATAACCCCTTCAGAAGATGGCGTGATAAGAATAGGAGGTAGGAATTGGCTAGGTAGTTAGGGTAAAAAGACCCCAAAGAAATGTAGCCAGTTTCTTGGCTAAATGTCCTTGGGCCTGTTAGCAACATATTCTGTTCCAAAGGCCAAAAATGTCGAAAGTATTTGGGAGCTTGTATCTAATCCTTAAAAGATTTTAGGGTTACCTCTTCAGAGGGGGGAATTTTGGAGGGGAGGGAGTGGGCATGGATTTGATCAAAACACCTTATATTCGTGTATGAAATTCTCAATAAAGTTTTTGTAAAAATTTAAAAAAAGAACAGTCAGTATTCTTAACCACTGAGACATTCCTCTAGCTCCCCAAAATAAATTTTTTAAAAATCAAAAATAATTGTGATCCAAAACATTTCAAAAAATGCTTTCATATTCAAAGTAAGAAAAAAACAAATCATGGTTAAAAAAATAAAATAAAGCGCTGGACATGGTAGCACAGACCTTTAATCCCAGGACTTGAGAGAGAGGCAGGTGGATGGATCTGTGAGTTCAGGCAGATCTGATTTTGAGTTTAAGGCCAGCCTGGTCTACATAGTGAATTCCAAGCCAGCTGGGGTTATAGGGAGACCTTGTCTCAGAAAAAGACAAATAAATAATAAATTTTGACAGACTATAAGGCACATGTACCTACCACCACATTACACCACTGATTGAGCCTGATGGGCAGGTCTCTGTGTGACTGCACCCATTTTGCATACGCGGGATACATTACTGGAAGACAGGAAAACAAGTCTGTAGGCTTGATTTCTTCCTTGAGGCCAATAAGAGTTGCATTAACAACATAATTAACAGGAATTAAAAGTGTCTGTTTACTAGTAATGGTTAACTGAATGATACCGTTACCTAGTTCGCAGAGTACATTGCTCAAAGACACACCAATCTACCATGATCTAAACATGACCACTCTGCATGCTTCACGCATTCATACTTAACATGTTGTCAGCTTTCGTGTTTTATTTTAGAAAACACTAGTATATGACATGTTAAATTCTCTTCATTCATTATCTTGTTCAACCCTCCTTAGACCACAAAGTAGGTATCTTTATCCAGTTTAAAGATGTGAATATCACTCCTGAATCCTGCAGTTATGCATGCAAATCAGAATTTTCTGTTCTCTCTGTTGACGAGTCCACCCATTTCAAGAAAGCTCTTGCTATGAAATCCGCCCCTATACACAGTCTACAACCAGTAAAACCAAACTGTCAACTTGGTATGAGAAAAAAGCTGGAGTCATTATTTCCAAAAATGCAAACACAAAAATACCAATAGAAATGTCAAATAAAGAGCAAGCTAACTTGAAAGACAGATAATCACATTAGAAGACACCATCAACCCCAAAGGCTCACCAATTTCAGCAGCACTCCCCTTTACCAAGTGTAATGTAGGAAAATCATTTCATCAGTCCTTGCTGTAGCTACATGGAGACTCAATGGCCGTCTCCATACCCCCCCAGCATTCCAAGAATAATGCCAACAGGCACAAATGGAGCTCTCTAAAACTCCTGCAGGAAAACGGGCATGGTGGCTCGTGCACACATCCAGCATTCAGGAGGCAGAACCGACATATGTCTGTGAGTTCAAGGACAGCCTGGTCTCCATAATGAGTTCCAGGCCAGCCAGAGTTACATGGTAAGACCATGTCACATCAATCAAACAAACAAAACCCTATGGGAATATAATCAAAATAAGCAACAAAATTTGTAAACATAGTATGAAGTATCAGTGTTTGCAACTGCATAATCAACACAAGAATAAACATTATTGTAATATAATTCCCTAAAAAGCTCTGAAAATTTATAGCACAAAATAAAAAAAGATGAGCTCTTAAAAACAAAACAAAAACCCCATATATCCCGATGATGATAAAGGGCTCTATTATAATAATATTATAATGAATACGGCTTAATGTAAACAATTCTACAAAACAAACTTGCATTCTGTCTTCATCACCTTCCATTAAATTTTATTTTGCCAGGAAGGATTTGAAACCTCACAAACACTGAGGCTCGGCTCTAGATGCCAGGAATGTTCTGTGCTCCAAGGCCGCCCTCACCTGTTTCACTAGTAGGACGGATGGCAATTGGCTCAGCCAGCTCTGTCTTACCAGATCTTGTGACCCAAGCAACCTAGTAAGATAAAGATGATTTTAATGACAGTTTAGACCAGCGCAAATGTAGATAAATGTTCAGTTCTCAGCATCAACTAAAGCAACAAACAGCTGCTATTACTACAAAAGTACAAGTCAGTCAGCTGACATGACAAACAGAAACACAACTTGCCATAAAAGTAGGAATATGATTTCTTAAATAAAAATGGCCCTACAATTCTCTAATTTGGTTGTTATATTCTATTGAGGATATGCTTCTGAGTTTACAAGGGAACTACAAAAAATAAAACAGCAAGCTAACTTACCTCAGGGGCAAAGTCAGCAATGTGAGTCTTCTCTTTCTCTAATGCACCTTGAGACACAAATATGGGGAAATAGCAGTTTTCAACGCCAAGTTTCTTGATCTCAGCATCAAAGAAGTCCTTAATGGATTCCCAAATGGAATATGACCAGGGGCGGAGAATATAGCAGCCACTTACATCATAGTATTCAATCATTTCTGATTTTGTGATGACCTTTTTAAGAGAAAAACAAAGTCTATAAATTGAATCAGTACTCTAGTGCACACGGCAAAAGTATGCGGTAATCAAAAAATTTGTAGAAACTGCAGACACATTCTCATGGTGGGGAGGGTCTGAATGGAGGAAAACAGACCTTCCTACACTCAGGGGCCACATATTATTTTGAATTTAGACTCACCCCTTTACCTCACAATATGAACAAAAAATAGCGATGACTACTCATGGACTACTTTTTGATTCAACAGTAAGTGGCCATACTTTTGAAACTGACATGCTGGAAAGCTATGCTATGTATTACTTTTCCTTCCATCCTTCCCTCCTTCCTTTGTGGTGCTGGGGATCAAACTCAGGACCTTGGGCATGCTAGGCAAGCCTCCGTCATTAAGCCACACTCCCAGCCTTCTGTTATTTTTAGTTTTTATTTTGAGACAGTCTCACTATGCAGCCAGCTGGCCTGGAACTTGAATCCTCTTGCCTTAGTTTCCTAAGGGCCAGGATTACAGGGGTGTGCTACCACTCCTGGCCTATACTATGCTATTACAATAGCATCACAGAGCTGGGGAGAGGGCCCGGTCAGTAAACTGCTTACCTCGCAAGTATGAGGCCCTGAGTTAGATCCCAGAACCCTACAAGTGTCAGGTTTGGCGGTATGTGCTTGTAATCTCAAGAGAAGGATCCCTGGGTTCACTGGTCAGTCAATGTAGCCTAACTGGTAAGCTCTGGACCAAAGACAGACCCTGTCTCAAAGGGGGAGGATGGCTTTCCTGAGGATGACATCCAAGGTTGTCATTTACACACATGTGCATATACACCCACACTAAAGGAGGGCACCACTTATTGTTACTACTAACTTTTTACTTATGCTTTAGATCTAAACATCAACCCCACTTTGGGAAATTTTAAAACATAGAACTGACTGGGAAATTTTAAAACATAGAAACTGACTGAAAGCATACTCACTTGAGAGTACCATTCTGCCAGATTTTCTTCTTTTTTTGCTTCAAGACCCAATCTGCAGGCATGAAAAATAAAATATGAATTCTTTCACTCAGCAATTTCTTTTAGGCTATGTCTTAGTCTGTTTTCTGCTGTTATAACAAAGTATCTGAGACCAGACCAAGCAATCTCCAGAGCTGACTCATGGTGCTGGACACTCCAACAGCCTATCTGCAGGTGGAGGGGGCCCTCTAGAGGCATAGAGCATGACACAGTAGGTCAATGGAAAGCTGCTGGCTAGCTCAGGGACTCTCTTCCTTTGCTTTTAAAGCCATTAAACTATCATGAGACCCATTTTCATAACTTCAGCTAACTCTAATTACTCCAAAGGCTCCACCTTCGGATTACCCCATGAACTAGGGGATCAAGTTCCCAGCACATGTACTGCAGGGGACACATTCAAACCACAACAGGCTAAACAAAACCACCAGTTTAAAATAGGAGTATTTCTTCAAAATCACTCATTTATACATTTGCATTCTTTTATACTCATTTCCACGAGAATGTTTTTAACCTAAAAAAAATTTTCATCTTTTTATTACTGTTGATTTTTAGTTTCACTATTCAGCCCTCACTTGCCTGGAACTCAGTATGTAGATCAGACTGGCCTGAACTTGTGGCAATCCTCCTGCCTCTGCCTCTTAAGTACTAAGATTATAGGCATGCACCAACACACCCAGCATCCATCAGGTCTTAAAAGGTGGTCAGATATTGTCCATGAAAACTGCCAGGGCCAAACCTAACCAAAGCTATGATCTACTAAATAAGCATCTTATTTATAAAATACTTTTGTTTGCTTTGTTTTGTTTTTTTTTCTTTTTGAGACAGGGTCTTCCTGTAGCCTCAGCTGGCCTAGAACTCACTATGTAGACCAAGCTGGTCTTGAACTCACAGAAAATGTGCCTGCTGGGATTAAAGGCATGTGATACCACACCCATCCTATAAAATTCTTTTTCAATTACAAATATATGTTAAAGGCAGAGCCTATTCACATACATCTATGACAAGTTTTTGCCAGTCTCAACCCAGATAATATTACATTTGAAGTCACTGTCTCACTGAAGGCAATATAAAAAGTAACAAAAGCTAGCAGCTACTTCCATGCATGTGTTTATACATAATATATACACTTATATTGTATACACTTTTAAGTACACTAAATAAAAGTTTTAGAGCCGGGTGTTTGTAAAAATATACATCTAAACTTTAAAAACCAACTAAATAACAACAAGTACCAAGTATTCCAGGGCTGGAGACACAGCTCAGCAGTAGAGCACTTGCTTAGAACATGTCAGACCCTTTGCTGGGTCCTAGTCTCCTGCCTCCTCAAATTACTATTCCAGATAATAATCCTTCCCTCAAAAGACCAACAATTACCTGAGCATGGTGGTGTACACACTGTACAACTCAGGACCGTTCACAAGCAATCAGAAGGGGGAGGGAGAAGCACTAATCTCTTCCCAACATTCTATGAAGTCAGTGATTGAGCACAGTAAGCAGTAGTTGCATCTATACGATGACCTATGGAGGCAGCAGATCCGACACCCAGATGGAAACCCACCCCCTCTAAAGCTCACTCTTCTTAGTGTGCATGACAGGAAGCCTGTCACAGAGCTCATTCTACTTCTGGAATTGGATTTAGACAGAATTACATTATTCAGACTGTAAAGCAATGGAAAGAACAGATCAGCCTTGTTTTATATTTAATTTACAACTTCAAAGTCCTACTGGGAGTTGGGAGGCTGGAAAGACGGTTCGGTGATTAACCATGCTTGCTGCTCTTGAAAAGGATCCCAGTTTGGTTTTCAGCACTGACATTGGGCAGCTCTCAACCACCTGTAACTTTAGCTCCAGGGGATCTGAAGCCTCTGGCCTCCCCAGGCACCTGTCTTATGTGCACATACCCAAACACATACACAGGTACACACGAAATTTAAAGTAATAATCTTTTAAAAGGAAAAAAAAAAAATCCTACTGAGAATAAAGTTCTTATTTAGCTCCTACAAGACTTTCATGGGGCTGGAGACATGGCTCAGTGGTCAAGAACAGTGGCTGTTTTTGCAGAAGACCTGGGTTCGAATCCCAGCACCCACATGGTGGTTAACAACTGTCTGTAACTCCAGTTCCAGGGAATCCGATGGCCTCTTCTGTCCTTGGGGGCATTGCATGACACAGGTGTACTTACCTATATGCAATACACTCATACACATAAAATAAAAATAA